TTTCTTTTCCCGCTCATTATTTTTCAGAATTCAAAAAGTCTTTATTTTAAATTCTTTCCTTTATTTTCGTTTCTCTACCTTCCATCTTTTCATATTTTCTGGTTTTGGCCAAAGCAAGCTTGATCGTGAAGCAAGGCTAATCCATCAATTGGTTCAAGGTTTTCAAGAACTACATTGCATTTGAGTTTCGGGTTAGGTTCTATCGAATTCTCGCTCTTCCTCCTCTTTTCTGATTAGGATAATTACATTTTTCATGATATTGAATTTTCATTTGCATTCTAAACAGAGAATGAGAATTTCAGATTTGAAATAAATGAATTCATCTAATTCAATAAATCAATTTTTTTGAATTTCGTTAGAGCACTAGGTTTGCGATTGCAATTCTTGTTTTGATGGAATTCATAATCTAGATTTAGATTGCGGGTTATTAATGTTGTATTGAATTACTGTTAATTGGAAATTCGTTGGAATTGTGTTTGTGTAACAATGAGAATTGCGTTGTAGTGATTGAGATCTTGATTTGGTTGAACTTCATATTTCGTTTCGTTAGAATTATTCTTTGTTCTTTTCTTTTCTGTTCTTTACAATTTAATTCAAAACAATCCATCCCTAAACTAATATGAAATTACATGATGGAACCAAAAACAGAATGATTCTTATGTCCTTGCGAGATGACCTAGGTTTACTCCTTCTATTGCAAAATTTTTAAGAAAATTTAGTTTGTTTGATACCATTGCGACATGGTTATCAAAATGGCGCTGTTGCCGGGGACATAAGTCATTTTGTTTTTATTTCATCATATGTGCTAACTGATTCTGTGTTTCTGTGATTCTGTGATTCTGAAACTGCGTATTACATTTGATCACTAAGTATTTCGTGTTTGTTTTTCAGTTTTAGTTTTGCAATTCAATTCGTATGTGTGTGTCGATCAATTTGTGTTTTAGTGTTTAGTGGTGTTCCTTTGATTGTCTATTCCATTATTTCATTGTAATTCAATTTGCAATTGAGTGTGTAATTTGGTTTCATTGTGTGTGGCTGAAGCATGCGAAAAACAGAGGACTAGTAGGAATAGAAAACATAGTTGCTGCATATTTTGCCATTAGATTTTACTGTTCATGCACTATTCATCAGATTTTGAAACTTCAAAAAAAATAACTAGAGATCGAATCTTGATCTGAATTTTTGTGTCCGCATTTCTTTTAGTGTCTATTAGTGTTTAGAGTTGGTAGATTGCAAAAATCATTAGTAGAAAAAGAGATACATTGTGGTGGCCAAGAAAATTTTTGTGAAACTTAAAAGTGGCATAACTTTTGCTAGGAAACTCAGAATTGGGCATATTGCATATGCATTTGGGGTAGAAAAAAATTTTCTATCCAATGCAACCCACCTTGTTGGTTGAGGCTGCCCAGAATTTCAAAATTCGCCTGTTTTCTAAATTTTTTTTTATTTTTTATCATTTATTGACCTATTTTTCTTGATTTTAGGCTTCTAGTTTCCATAGTGAATCAATTCAAAAAATTCTGAAAATTTTTGTGGTGTTTTCCTATACCAAAAAGAGATTTATCATGGTCCCACTTCATTCATATCTTGTATTTTGATGGTACTTGCTTTGTAAACCTACTTTGTGTATTCATTGAGTACTTCTTGTTCTTGTTAGTTCTAACCTTACATGACCAGGGCCAACCCTAGTGTAGTGAATCAACCTGATCCTGAGATAAAAAAGAACACTTCGTAGGATAAGAGCTAGCAAAAACAGTGGTAGTGTACTTGGTGTTTCTGAAACTGTTAATCCTATTGTTAGTGAATCTGAGATTGAAATTGAGGATATGACTAATAACCCTGAGCTAACTTTGAAGGAATTGGCCACACCTAATGTTGTGTATCAGTCATGGTGTGTCTAATATCCTGAAGACGAAATAATTTCCTATGAGCTTAAATCTGGACTTATCCATCTGTTGCCAAAGTTTCATGGACTTGCAGGTGAAGATCCTCATAAGCATTTAAAAGAGTTCCATTGTGGTGTGTTGCAAAAGATTGGCTTTACTTCCTACCTTCAACAATCACTACATGGAATCAAATGAAGAGGTTATTTCTGGAAAAATTCTTCCCTACTTCCAGAACTGCAGCAATAAGGAAAGAGATTTGTGGTATAAGGCAGCTAAATGGAGAGACTTTGTATGACTACTGGGAGAGATTCAACAAGCTGTGTGCTACCTGTCCCCACCATCAAATAAGTGAGCAATTACTAATTCAATATTTTTATGAGGGACTAACTTTGATGGACAGGAGTATGATAGATGCGGCAAGTGGAGGAGCATTGATGGATAAGACACCACACGCTGCAAGGAAACTTATTACAAACATGGCAGCCAACACTCAAAAATTCGGATTCAGAGGAGCTGCTAAGGGAGTGGATGAGATAGCACTTGGTCCTGGTACTAGTGCTGTTTATGGTGTGGAAAATCAGAGACTGGAAAACAAAATCAACGAGTTGACCACCATGGTGAGGCATTTGGCAATTGGTCAACAACAAGTAAGTGCAGTAAGCGAGCAACCAGCAAGAGTTTGTGGCATATGTATTTCCACTGAGCACCCTACGGATTCATGCCCTACATTGCAAGAGACAGATGCAAATGTTTCTGGAATCTACACAAACCAACAGCAGCAATATAGATCTCCAAATCAGCAGCATTAGAATTATAACCCATACTCCCAGACATATAACCCAGGTTGGAGAGATCATCCAAACCTGAAATGGAGGGCAACAACAGCAGCAGCAACAACAAAGTCAAGAACCTTCATTTCAACCTGCTGTAGGAAAATATCAGCCTCCATTCAGGCAACAGCCACCTCCACCACCCCCTCCTGCACAAAGGAGTGAGCCATCATTCCAGGAGATGATACAACAGATGGCTACAAACAATCTGCAGTTTCAACAGAACATGCAAGCAACTGTTCAGGATTTGAAGATTCAGGTTGGTCAGCTAGCAACTCAATTGAGTCAGATTCAGTCTCAAGGTTCCAGTAATCTGCCTTCTGTCACACTCTTTACAACTGTTGTTGCAATGAAGGTAAACTGACTAGCAAGTGTACTAGTGTTGTTGTAGCAAGTTATAAAAAATCTTAGAATTAAATTGAGTTCCAAGTATCGTCCTCAGGGTTTAGATGGAATTGGTATGAATGTATCAAAAACAAAATTAGAAAGTAAAACAGAACAGTTAGTACAAAAGTATATAGTAAACAGATGTAGAAAGAGTAGTTAGGAAATTGTTTCACCAAAACTTCAACATTGAATCAATAAAGTTCTGAACTTTCAAGCATTTAGATGGAATGACAATCAGTTTCACGTTGTATTAATCAAAGGACAATCCCTTGCCTCAATGAATCTAGCATCTAATCAAATCACTCCAATCCCTTAGATCTAATCCAATCAAATGCTGCATTAAGTTTGAGAAACCAAAAGATTGCAAGGTTAAGATATCTTATCCCTAAGAAACCAATAACCTTGGTAATTAATTCAGATCTAAGAAACAAATTAAATTCCCATTGATAAGAGTTCCTCTATGATTAGTTGATCAAATTTCCATTCAATCACTACTTTAACAGCAGAATCAATCACTCAATCCAATCCAAAACTCAAAGTTCAGATCCAAAATCAATTCAACATTTCCATTTCAGATTCACAGTTCCTAACCACAAAGAGTTTAAGCAAACATTACAAAAAGAGAAGAGAAGAGAAGAGGAGAAGAGAATGAACAAAGAAGAAACATCTTCAAGCCAATCTCCAATCTGATCCCTTAAGAAATAAAGCTTGGTGTTCGTCCTCAATCTCCCTCTCTGACTGTCTCAACAACAAAAACAAATGGAAAATGAAAAATGAACAAAAACTCCCAAAATTCCTGAGCTAACTGCCTTTTATAGAATTCCCGCTTTGCTGGCATGATCACTTTTTCCAGCAATAGTAATCACGCAGAGGCTAATTCTTCATTTCCACTTGCGCGTGTTCACTTTTGTTGAAAATAGTAGCCACGCAGAAGCTTCCTTTGCTAATGTCATGCGCGTGTTCACTTCTGCTGGAAATAGCGAACACGCAGAAGCTGCTTTCTTGCGCGTTCACTTTTGCTGGTAATAGTGAACACGCGCAGCTACTCTTCTTGGAGGACTCTTTGGAACGCTCACTTTTTCCAGAAAAAGTGATTACGCAGAAGCTCTTCTCATTGCAACCTTTCTGGAACGATCACTTTTGCCAGCAAAAGTGATTACGCAGAAGCTCTTCTCCATTTTATGGTTCTGGAGTGATCACTTTCACCAGCGAAAGTGATCACTCAGAGGCTGTTCTTCAATTATCAACTTCTTTCCTCCAATTTTTGCTACTTTTCTTCTATTTTTCCTTTGATCATCCAATCCTCATGAACTTAGCTCAGAATTCCCTACAAAAGCATACTTGAAATGTCACTTTTTACATAGAAAATCAATGAATTTTAAAATAACTATGTTTAAAAGTGACATGCAACATTTTATTATTTTTTTAAGGGTTTTCTACTATTTCTAGCATGTTTTCTTTATTAATTGCACTAAAAACTATTGTAAAATACTAGTAAAATATGGATTCATCATTACTATATACTTTTGTACTAACTATTCTGTTTTACTTTCTAATTTCATTTTTGATACATTCATACCAAATCCATCTGAAATTTGTAAAGCTCAACTAATTGTGATCTTGTGAAGTGGTAATTGAGAACTTTATTCCCTGAGGACGATACTTGGAACTCAATTTGATTCTAAGATTTTTTATAACTTGCTACAACAACACTAGTATACTTGCTAGTCAGTTTACTTTCAGTGCAACAACAGTTGTAAAAGTAACAATTATTCCCATTTTCATTGAGAGATAAAGCCAAGTGCTGGCTCCAAGCTCAACCACAAGGTAGCATTTCAACATGGGCGATTTGGTGAACAAGTTCCTAACAAAATATTTTCCACCTTCAAAAGCTGCAAAAATAAGAAGGGAAATCACATCTTTTGTTCAGCAAGATAGAGAACCATTATATGAAGCATGGGAAAGATACAAGGAATTATTAAGGAAGTGTCCTTATCATTGCATACTGGAGTGGATGCAACTTGAAACATTTTATAATGGAATGACTGCAGCTACTAAAACCATGATAGATGCATCGCTGGTGAAAGTGGATGTTCCAAAGAAGCTCCATACAGAGCGAGTAGCGCGTGATCACTCTCGACAACAAGAGTAAACGTTCTAGAGAGACCTTCAGGTTTGTAAGTTGTGCGTGGACACTTTTACTCATGAAAGTGAACACGCGGACAACTTGATCTCTAGCATTGCCACTTTTATGAATGAAAGTGATCACTTCAGTCTTCCAGAACACCAGATAAGCCTTCGCATGACTACTCCTGTAAAGAAGAGTAGTAATGTGCTCATGGCGGGAAATCTATAAATTGAAGAAATGCTCAGATCTTTGGATCTTTTGTTCATTTTTCACTTCCAACTTGTTTCTTGGTGTGAAGAGAGTTTGAGAGAGAGATTGGGGATGAACACCGAGCTTCAACCTAGATAATCGGATTGAAGATCGGTTGAAGATGCTTCTTCTGTGTTCTTTCTCTTCTTCTCTTTCTTTGCTATCATGGCCATGTAATTTCTTCATAGTTAAGGATTGTGGATCCAGAAAGAACGTGTTAAATTGATTCTGGATCTGGATTTCAAGTTTTGGAATGGATTGAGTGATTAATTATGCACTTTACATAGTGATTGAATGGAAATTTAATTAACTAAATGCAAAGGAACTCTTGTCAATAGAAATTGGATTTGTTTCTCAAATTTGAATTAATTACCAAGAGTATAGCTTTCTTAGGGATAAGAGAACTTATTCTTGCAATCTTCTGGTTTCTTACACTTAAAGCAACAATAAATTGAATCAGATCTAAGGAATTAGAGTGATTTGATTGAATGTTAGGTTCACTGAGTTAAGGAATTAACCTCTGAATAACACAACATGGAACTAATTGTAATTCTTTCCAATTACTTCCAAGTTCAGAACTTTATTGATTCAACATTGAAGTTTTGGTGAAACAACTCCCTAGCTATAAATTTTGTATAACTTGCTACACCAACACTAGTACACTTGCTAGTAAAATCAACTTCTCTTTAGAAGTGTGACAAGTTTTTGGCGTCGTTGCCGGGGAATATTGTTTTCAATATTATTAGTAACAAGAAAGTAATTAGATTGAGCATTTTTCTTTCTTTTAAAGTTTCTGCAATATTAGATTACATTTAGAATTTTTCTGTTTGCAATTAGTTGAATAGTTAATTCTATATGTGTGTAGTTTTAATTTTTGATTGATTTTATATTGTTATAAGTAGTTACTTTGCATCTGTATATTGTGAATTAGTGCAGTTTTTTGTTTTCCTCTTCTATATCTGTATTTTTTTAATTGTATCTGCGTTGCAAAAATAAAAATAAATCAACTCTAGTCTTTGATCCTGATATAGACATAACCTTAAGGAGATTAGGAAGAGAGGCTAGAGCAGAAAAATTCATAGGAAGTGATAGTGAATTAGAGGTTGTCCACTCTCGAGAAATTCAAATTACTCCTATTTCAAACAAAACAAGTTCACGTCTAAGACAGGTAACTCCAAAAATAGAGATGGCAGAACAACATAGGATGAGAATATTAGGAGACTATACAATTCCAAACATGCAAGGCTATAACTCTTCCGTAGTTAGACCAACTATTCAAGCTAACCACTTTGAAATTAAACCAGCCTTGCTACATTTAGTGCAACAAGACCAATTTTTTCGTGGAATTTCTGATGATCCAAATTGATCAATTAGACTTTTATAACCTTATTTCCTCTCATTCCTAGCTCATTAATCCTCTTTTGTGCCTAATTGGTTTGAATTGGATCATTTTATGATGTTTGAATTTTATTTGGGCTTTATTTAATTTTTCCAGTATTTGGCAAATTCTGATACTATTTTGGTTTCTGCACCATATCTTGAGTTGTAGAACTCATTTCATTGTGATTTTTGATTTTTAGGAAAGCTAAGAGAAAGGCGCACAATTCTTATGAGAGGTCAGAACCCAATTCTAATAATAAGAAGCTGAAACTGGGCCTGGAAAAAGTTGGAATGCTGCACTCATGGTTTCTGACTTTGGTGCAGTATTTGGGCCATATCTCAGTCCACATATGTCCATTTAAGCCCATTCTAGTTGCGTGTTGAAGCTAACATCTAGAGGTACAATTTCTCTTCATACCAGAAATCGAATCGGATAGATCTTCAAGGCCAAAAATACCATTGAAGATCTTCTCAGATTCATCATGGATACTGAGTAGCAATTACAAGCATAACTTTCGCTCCAGAATTCGAATTTGAACAAATAAGGATTCCAAAGACAGCTATTGAGTGGAGGATTAATGTAATTGAATAATTATTATATAGATTTTATGTTTTAACCCTTAAGAGTCTCTATTTAAATTAGGGCAGTAGGCTGTAAAAGGGTTGGTTAAGACGTTAGGAGATTAGGTTTATGTTTTAGGGTTTTTGTTTTCTTCTTCTTTTTCTCTTCCGTTTTTACCTTTTGTTTTCCTCCATTAATGGAGGCTTAGACTTTCATCTAGCCCAGGGATTGAAAAGGGCTGAGACACTTTTGAGGATTGGTTTCGCAATTTATTCAACAACAAATTCAGTTTCATCTCTTCCTTCTTTCTCCTTTTGCTAATTATGATTTTGAATTGAAGTTCTTCATTTGAATTGATAATTATGCAGTTGTTTGATTACATATTATTCAATTGATGTATGTAATTAATTCTTGAAGGAGTGTGAATTAGATTTTCAAGTTTGAGATCTAAGATTAATGGCATTGGTGAATTAAATTAATACAAATCGATTAGGTTCTAGAGGTTTCTGAACTTTGAGCGAATTATGTGTTAATCGAATGCATGAGGGTTCTCGTGTGAATGCTTAATTTGAATTGAGGTTTCATTCGAATTTAATGTTAATCACTAATTTGTTGGTTAATGCATCTTCTTGGAATCCGATGATAGAGTGGTCGTAGTTCTTCTAAATTCTTGGATTAGAGTTTTTAATTCTTGTTAACTATTAATTCTAATTAGTGTTATTCTATAAATCAAACCCCCTCTAATTTTATAATCTTATAATGTTATCATCATTGGGAGACGACTCGGATTGCACCTCTTACTACATAATTTTTATGCAATTTAGTTTTTATTAATTTGTCCAAGCACGACACTCGCGATCACAAATCTGCATATTTCAAATTTTTTGCAGTTATGTGACACTATAAGAATGAATGGAGTAAGTGAAGATGCTATAAGATTGATGTGCAAAAAGGAGAGCTTATGCTTAGAGTTCAACATGAAATGGTAGTGTTTAATGTTTTTGAAGCTTTGAAATATCCAATTGAAGATAACACATGCATGAGAGTAGAAATAATGGATTCTCTTATTACACATTATCCTATTAATGAGCTTGATGAAAATTCTGTGTTGAGAGAAACCATAGCTGCAAGGAGTACCAAATCTAAGATTTATAGAGCAGAGTACATCATAGAAATTAAGTAACAATTGGAAGCTCTACCAATTCTAACCCCTGCAGAGAATTCAGTCAAAGAAGAGCTAAAAGAGGAAGTGAAAGAAGATCAAAATCAGAAGCTAGAGTTCAAGCAGCTACCTTTTCACTTAAAATATGCTTTCTTGGTTAAGCGTCACGAAAATCCAGTCATCATCAACAATGAACTCAAGCAAGAAGAAGAGGAAAAGTTGCTGAGAATTTTGAGAGAACATAAATCAGCAATAGGCTAGAGCATTTCAGATTTGAAAGGTATAAATCCTTCCTTTTGTAAACATAGATTTTTATTTGAAGAGAAATTTAAACCAGTTGTGCACCCACAAAGAAGGTTGAATCCAGCCATGAAAGAAGTGGTAAAGAAAGAAGTCATGAAATTACTAGATGCAGGAATCATTTATCCAATTTTGGACAGCCAATGGGTGAGTCCAGTCCAAGTTGTCCCTAAGAAAGGAGGGATGACAGTTGTGCCTAATGAGAAGATTAAACTCATACCTACTAGGACTGTCACTGGTTGGCGCATGTGTATTGACTACAGGAAGTTGAATGATGCAACTAGAAAGGATCACTTCCCACTTCCATTTGCTGACCAAATGCTGGAAAGACTTGCTAGACATGCATTCTATTGTTTCCTTGATGGATATTTAGGTTACAACCAAATAGCAGTGGACCCTATGGATCAAGAAAAGATTGCATTTACATGTCCATTTGGAGTTTTTGTATATAGAAGAATGTCATTTGGATTATGCAATGCTCCTGTTACATTTCAAAGGTGTATGTTGTCCATCTTTTCTGATTTGGTAGAGAAAATAATTGAAGTGTTTATGGATGACTTCTCTATTTTTGGAAATTCATTCGATTATTGTTTAGCTAATCTGTCCACTGTTTTGCAGAGATGTCAAGATACTAACCTTGTGTTGAATTGGGAAAAGTGTCATTTCCTGGTCCAAGAGGGCATTGTCCTTGGCCATAAAATTTCAGAAAAAGGAATGGAGTTGGATCAAGCAAAAATAGAAGTTATTAGTAAACTGCCTTCACCAATTAATGTTAAGGCAGTTAGGAGTTTTCTAGGTCATGCAGGCTTTTATAGGAGGTTTATCAAAGGCTTTTCAAAAATTGCAAAACCTCTTAGTGATTTACTTGTGAAAGATGCTAATTTTATATTTGATGATGCTTGTTTGCATGCATTTTTTGTTTTGAAAGAGAAACTTATTTTTGCACCTATTCTTGCAAAACCTGATTGGAATTTACCTTTTGAATTGATGTGTGATGCAAGTGATAGTGCAGTGGGTGTTGTTCTAGGACAGAAAAAGGATAGAAAATTGCATGTCATTTACTATTCCAGCAAAGTTTTAAATCCTGCACAAGTAAATTACACAACTACAGAAAAAAAACTCTTGGCTATTGTGTTTGCTTTTGACAAATTTAGATCATATTTAATGGGATCAAAAGTCAGTGTATACTGACCATTCTACACTTAAATATTTGTTGTCCAAGC